GGGGGGGAGAAACACCACCAAAAAAACACAGAACTAATTCTGCTGAACAAACTAACATAGCTTAAAAAAAAAAAGTAGTTGTCTATCATAATTTCCCTAAGCAAAGTGACAGCTACTTCCCGTTTTCTTCCATTCCTCGCAGTCACATGGGGAAGGGGGTTGGGTCTGTTGGTCAGAGCAGTGGTCTCCGGATCCGCGCCCCGGGTGAACGAGAGCTCAGCGGGACGGCCTCAGTGCAGCCAAACCGCAGGCGCCCCGTGCCAAGCCCTGCCAGCCCTTCTCCCGTCCCCCTCCCACCGCTCCGCTCTCCCCTGCAGTCCCTCAGAAGGGAAGTGCGGAGACATCTCCCACCGGCCCCTCTCCAGCTCCACCAACAGTTCCCTCCGCACCCTGGGCAACACAAGCTTCTCGCCCTGACTCTCGGCTGCTTTCTCGGGGCACCTCGGTGTCTGCTGACGCCGTCAGCCCCAGCACCCCCTCCCAGGCGTCCCACCACACCCATCGGGGGCCTTTCTCCACACCTCGCTCCAGCTCCTTCCACAGCCCCTTTACATGCAGTTCTTCACCTCGGGCTCAGCCGACACACGAAGCTTTGCTGTCCTCACCAAGTCCTTCCTCAAACATCGGCATCCACCATGATGCTCTAAGAACAACGCTTTTCCTCGAGATAATGCCACCAGCCAAGCAACTCGGTGTTTTCACTTCTTCAGGTAACAGGGAAGTTCTTTTGCAGAGAGAATGGGGTTTCATTAGTAAAAACTTTATTTCTAGATATAAAATTCCCGCAGGACCTTGTCCTTGTAACACATGGTAACAGCTTAGAGCAGAGCTGGCTAGCAAAAGGCAGTAATTGTGTCATTCACTGATGTTACTAAAAGAAGTTACATCCTTCTTGATGTGCAAGATTCCTTTTCCCACCAATATTTTATCTCATTCTAAAAAGGAAAAATTTGTACAAAAAGCATTTGGAAAATGTGTTATGTATTAGTTATGTGGACTCTGTAAAATGAAAAAAGCTAATTTTTTTCCACTATCAAACATGTCCTGGAATAATTACACACATCCCAAGTGACAACTGTTCGAGTTGGTAAGGCAGAAACTCCCAGCATATCATACACGCTGCTGCTCCATGCAGCAGGGAAGGCGAAAGACAAAAATAAAAGGGGAAGAGCTTTAAAACCTCTGCCAATACTGTCCAGTACCTTGATGGCTCAGCTATTTCAGACTTTGATGCGTCTGGGCTCCTTCGCTCCTCTGAAGATCCTTCCTTTTCATTTGCAAGCAGTCATCTTCTCCAGGAACATTTGGAAAAAAGGTCAGGCTTTTTCTGTTGGGATGTTTGGGGGTTTTTGTGGCTGGTTGTTTTTTTTAACCATCTCCATTGTCTACAAGAGTTCAAACAAACGGCCACTCAAGCCGCGCTTCTTCCGGATTGGCACCGGTTTCCTGCACAGGAACGGTTGTTTGCTCCTCGCTCTCCACGTTTAATACCAAACTCCGACACTGCTGTCCACTCTTTAGAACACGTTAAAGGAAAACACAGAGCATGAAGAGTCAGCCTGTATTAGCAAGCGCCCGCTCTTTGCGCCACTGACAGCTAGGCTTTTGCTTCTTCCTTAAAAGCAAGAGTCACTGTCGGTCCCCTCCCAAATCAGAAATGCAAACTGTACAGCCCACTCAAGGGGTTTCCTGCGGAACACCTCACTGCACAGAGGTCAGCTCTGGCAAATCACTGACCAGAACTTTTAGGGGATACGTAATACTGTCGGATGGACAGAACAACAGACAACAGTTCCATAAGACAGACTTGTATTTTCTAGTAGGAGTCCATCTCCTAAATCCCCTTAAATATTCATTCTTAGACAACGTCAGGAGGTGACAATGGCCCTGGGATTAGATCCCAAGCCTCCTAACGAGAATCACATCAAATGAGTTTATACTGCATAGTCTTGGGGATTCTGGAACTCGGACACTCCCAGTACCCACAAGCTGCTCCAGTACGCACCAACCCATCAAACACCTTGCACATACAAACACTGAACAAAACCTACTTCAGATTTCAACATATTACCCAAAAAAACCCAAAAAAAGAAAGAAATGAGAGCAAGATACTCACCCCTGACTCCTGCACCGCTGCAAAGAAAATGAAACGGTCCCATCAAAACGCAGCAAGGTGAACCTTCTATTAATGCATTTTTCTAATCGCGTGCCCCCATCCCCAGGCAGCAGCAGCAGCGGCCGGGCAGTGAGCGGCACAGGCACACCCCGCGCCCGGCATCGCTGCGGCACGCAGGAACGGAGGGATTTCCTTGCAGTTCACCTCTAGTCGGCTGTTAAGGCTTCAGCTCAACATCTAGTGAAGTGAAGACCACTCCAGAACACTCACTGTTACAGAGCTCCCCCTTTATACGCCTGCTAGTCGTACTTACGTGGCACGTAATTTTTCCTTTTCCTCTTTTGCCAGGTATACACAAGGCCAGCCGCAACAGCTAGCACGATTACAGCGACAGAAACAACAATCGCGGTAACAGAGGAATCTGAGGAAGGATTCCCGTCCTCTCCTTCTTCTGGGTCGTTCTGCTCAAGTCTGACGTGGGAAAAGAAATAATCGTGTACTCAGAACCTGGCAGCAGACCTGGCAGTGGAACTGCTGCACCGTGCTTAACATCACACCTCCACATCCAGGGGCTTCCCAAAGGTCCTGCTGACTTGCTGGGTAATCCAAGAAGGAGCTGAATTTTACCTCTTTTTCTTAACGCTTGTAAATACAAATCGGTTCTCCTCCGGAGCAAACTCTCACCTGTTCTACCAGAGCTAAGGGATGTGGCAGCTGAAAGCCAGCTACCCAGAGGAGTGCACGGCTCTGTGGGTCCAGACCAAGCTCTGCTGGAACCGTCTGAGAGTCTCCTGCGCAGTCACAAGTTAGGACAGGAGCCTGAAGGCTACATCTGTCACGTTAAGGAGCTTACAAAGAGAGAAGCGAAGCTGTTCCCAAGAAAGAATGGGCGACAGGAACAGGATTCCACACTCGCTGCCTTACGGGAAGCAGGCAACCGCTGTTTCGAAGACAGCAAAAGGCAGAGCCAACAGTTAAAGAGAACAGTCCCGTGCCCACAAAGAGTACGAGGTGCTTACTCGTGCCACGGCCTGCAGCTGGAGGCCATGCTGGTGGTGGAGGAGGTCCCAGGAGGACAGGCTTCACACACGTTGTCAGTGGTGTCCGTGCCTACAAGGGAAAGGACAACGGGATTGCTGTCTGCACCTGTGGCGAAGGAGAGCTTCAGCTCAGCGCGGTCCTTGTGAACGACCAAGCCATTGCTGCAGAGACTCTCCGCTACGGACAAAACCTCACACGCTTCTGTCTTTGCAGACAAGGCCAAAACCAGTCTTGGCCACATCGGCTACCTCAGCATCTAGGACTTCAACATCCCTCAAGCTTCCAGCTGTGCGCTGGTGCTCCGACAGCGCGGTGGACCAGCCACCACCACACCCAGTGCGCGCTGGCCCTATCCGTTCACACCCATCCGCCACGAATTTTTTTCTGGATGAACTGACACAGCCAGCCCCCTCAAAATCCAGCCCCACAGACATCCCCCGTAAGCAAGCTTTGCTGTTGGTGGTGTTGGTGCTATGCTGGCTTACCCCCTTCTTTCACCATGGTGCCGGGAGAGCAGACAGTGTAGCGCTGGCAGAGTTCACAGTCGTCCGCCACGGAGTAACTGCAGAAGTACCCCGGCAGACAGCCACACACAGTGTTCTTCACGTAGCTACACGCGACTTTCGGCACTAGATTGGCTCCTAAGAGAAATCCACACGCACAGCCAGCATTTACATGGGTCCAATCAGCAGATACACGAGCAAGAGTGAACATTCAGCCTTGCCCTCATGCTCTGGTGAAGGGCACCAGAACTATCAGGATTAGTGAAGCCAACTCCTTTCTTGAAGTCTAAAGAGCCCAGTTCCTCACAGACACAGCACCCTGGGTCACATTTACATCCGTCCTAAGCGACTCACGTGGCAAAGGCAAAATGCTCCCAACTCCGATGTTTATAAACCACCCATCCTGGTGGAGCTGGGCAGCTCCAGGAGCTTTCAGGCCTGAAATCCCAAGTGTTCCAAGAGAGCTCCTCAGACACCACGCTGCAGTCTAAAGGAGCGGTCACAGGGGCCCCCGCCACAACCCGCCACTGGTGCCAGCTGAAGATCTATGCCAGTTTTTCTCCTCCGCCACCCAGCAGACAGCATTCTGAGGTCTGCCCAGCGACACGAGCCTCTGTTCTTCACACTCTAACCAATTCACCAAGCGAACGAAGCAAGAAAGGAGAAGGGGAGAACATATCTACAAAAGGCATGAAAAACCCCTTCGAGCTGGTTCTTTAGCATTCTCCTTACCTTCATCGCACCGTTTGCAGTCCCGGCAGCGTTCCAAGCCGTTGGGATGGTCCGTGTAGGTGTCCCCCACACAAGGTATGCACGTCGTGCTGGAATTGGCAGTGCAATGCCGGAAAACCCGACGTCCTGAAAACCAGAAACAACTGTCCCAGAGCAGCGGCTCTGTTAGCAGAGCCCGCCTGGCCCGGGACTGATACTGACATTAAACCACCCGTAGCTACTATAAACAAACTACCAGGAAGCAGGTGACCCTGCTTCGGCGGGAGGGTTGGACTGGGTGACCCACAGAGGTCCCTTCCAACCCCGACCATTCTGTGATTCTGTGAACTGCAGAGCCCATCCTCAAACGGAAACTGGGACCCAGGACAGATGCCCTCGGGGACCGCGAAGGTACCGGTGACCTCGGGGACCGCGAAGGTACCGCAGACTCCGGCGCTCATCGCCTCCAGCCCGGAGGCTCCACGGGCAGGGAC